TCCTTCTTCGATTGCTTCCCATATACCTTTCCTTGGGCTTCAAGATGTGCTTTCATCCGGATTTTCCAAAAGTCGAAATATTCTCCTAAAAATAGTGGTGGTTTATTACTACTTCCACCGTCTTTGAAAACCGGGTTGGTGCTAGCGGAAGCCATACTGAATCTTTATGAACAGGTTACCTTAACCTGCTCTGATACCAAATGTAAGTACAGAGTATGCCTAAGAGGGGAGGTGAATTAGGCTTTAGGGACTTTTTCCGGTTTTTCGGTATTCTTGAATTTTACTTCTTTAAGAAAGTTGGTGATGAAAGCGGTAAATGCAGAAAAGGAAAGAACACGGAGAATTATAGTGGTTCCCCTCAGAATCCGAGAGTACTCCACTCCCCTTTCAACATGAAAGAGAATTTACTATAGTTTTAGAATTGTACGACCTATCACACTATCGACCGGTGAGACCTACTTTCTAATAACTATACAATCACAAGTGTGCAAGAACAATCCTCCTGCAGACACTTACTCTTGTGTCCAACAATCCTCGATCACAAGTCACAATACAAGTAATTTGAATGAATTGATTTGAGAGTAATAGTAATGATATCAATACATAGATTGATCTTCTCCTTTTGATCAGAATTCACTCTTTAGTATCAATACAAGTGTTCAATATTATGGATATGAAATATATGAACAATATGAACACTTTGATAAAATTTGAAAATATTTGAATTTTAGTGAATTTGATTCAATGATGGTTTTTGAAAATAGTAGGAGGTGTTTTTCAATTTTGAAATAATCAGAATTTATATGAGGCAAAACACTTATTCAAACAGGTTTAATTGAGTATAGAACAAACAATGAAAAGGTATAACTTTAACATGAATTTTGAACTTTGAAATAAGTAATTTTTCAAAATACGTTCAGTGTTAATCGGTTAACACTGTAACGTTAGCTCAAAGAATTCAAAATTTAAGGGCGTTAACCGATTAACCCATATGGTTAATCGGTTAACACTGTAAAAACTTAGAAAAATATTTATGTTTTAAGTGTTATACCAATTCTAAAGAGTTTAAAAATATGCCAATGCAGTATGCAAAAATTATGGATTGTTTGAACACTTGTATATCAAATTAAAGAGGGAATTTTGATATACAAGCCTTGTGTCCAAGTCTTGACAGATGAAGAATAATTTGCACAACAACTTGACTTGTAAGTTATAATTGCATAGACTTGATCAGTTTGAAAGCCTTCACTTTTTGCAATCATGAAATGAGCTTGAGTTGGGTTGACATCATCAAAACGTTGAGATTGAAGTATGCTTGCTTCTACAATATTTTTATGTTTTTAATAATAATATAAAATTATTAATAATATAATTATATTAGTATAAAATTCTTAATATTTTAGTTTATTAATATTATATTTTATATGTTATAATATATTACAATTGTATTCTAATTTTTGTTTTAATAATTCATAATTATTTAATTCTGATTTTGATTATCTATATCATTAATTTAGATTCACTTTATCATTTTTAAATTAAATTATAATTTGTTTCAATAATTTCATAATTGTCTTATATTAATGAAAACTTTAGATTATAAAAACTTTAGTATTATGTTAATTTTTAATATATTTATTTGATGGTTTTTTTTTAAAAAAAAGACAGCATATGACATACAATTGTAAATAAGATAACAAATATATTCTTCTTGATTCAAATGTTTTTATAAAAAGTATATTATTGATCCAAATATTTTAATAAATAATATAATTCTTATAAACAAGAAAAAATTTATTATTAATTTAAATATTTTTATATGTGAAAAATTATAGACACATGTTTATTGTTCTTCTTACATTTCTTTTTTTTATGTGTATTTTTCTTTAAAATTAATAAACTCTTTTGATTAAATAATTTTATATTTTTATTATTTTTATTTTTATTATATTTTAAAAATAAATATACATACCATACAAATATACCCGTATGTATGGTATATTTTTATTTTTATACCATACAAATATACCATGTTTATTTTTATTATATTTTTATTATATTATTTTTATACCATACAAATATACATACCATACAAATATACCATGTTTATTTTTATTTTTATTAAATAAATTGCTTTTATCAATCGAACATTATATAAGAATATCAATATTAAAAAGAAGCATAAAAAATAAATTAATAATCCATATTTTAATACAATTTTCATAGTAGTTATAGGGAAGTTTTACCTCATACCCCTACACTTGTACTTATACCCCTACATTAAAAAATTTTGGACCAAAATATCCTCGTATAAAAATTTATTAATTTTTAATTTTTTTATATTTTTTTATTTGTTTACCGGAAGACTTTTTGGAAGTCTTCCGGTTCACATTTTTTTTTATTTGTTTACCGGAAGACTTTTTGGAATGTTAATGGATTTGTCCTATCCAATTTTGAGTTCAACTCTCAATTATGAAATATTCAAGTTGTATTTTAAAAGTAATTAAATTAGTTATATTTTAACTTTTGATTTTGGTTTGATAGGATTTTCTCTGTCTTAATAAACTTTTAATTTATGATAAAATGTTACTCATATCTTTTTATTTTAATTGAAATTCCTATCATTAAAACAATAAATGCATAAAATATATCTGAAAATATTTTATCAAATTTTTAAAATTACAAATAATGTAACACAATTAAATATAATAAATTGTATTACATTTTTTATTTATGGTCAAATGTTACTCTACTTTTTATTCTATATCTTTTGATTTTAATTGAAATTTTTACCATAAAATTAATAAATGCATAAATTGGGCGGGACGAAAAATTATAATAAAGTTTGATAGTTAGAGTGAGTCAAATACAATAAAATTTGAGTTTTTTTTATTGTGGAAACTTATAATAATTTTTGTATAGATGAAAAAAATGTAATGTTAGTTTAAAGAAATCATGAATTTTCAATTAAAATAAATTATAAAATATAAATAAGAGTGTCTATTATTGAATAAAATAATATTTACTTACAAGAAAATATACATGGTTGATTAAAAAAAATAAAACAATATTTATATACGAAAAAAATACATTGTTGATTATATGGAAAATAATATTATTGTTATCAACAGAATCAACTTTAATTGTTTCAAATATTGAATAATATCAATTTATATATCAAATTTTCAAATATATGAAAAGATTAATGGAAAAAAGTTATATTGTTATAAACGAGAACAACTTTATTACATTTTGAAAACAAATGTACATATCAACTATAAAAAACAAATTTTAATCAAACAATAACTTTTTTTTTAAATCTTAAAAATAATATTTTTTAAGGGGAACATAGAGTTACAGATCAAAATATTAATAATAATGAGAAAAAGCTCACTATTAATTCAAACATTTGTATATATTGAAAGAATTATAAGCACTGATTTACTATCTCTTTTAAAAATAATAACATTTTTTTGGTTAAACAAATTATTATTTTTTTATTTCATTTTTATTATGTTTTTGGGAAAAATGTGCGTACCAAATTTACAACAAAAATTTGATAGAAGTGTTTGCGGTTCGGTTTAAATAGATTTTAAAGTAAAATATTATCTGATTCAAAGATAAATTTACTTGCAGCTCGGTTCAATTTTTGATGATTGATTTAAAAAATTCGATCCAATTTCTTGCGGTTTGATTAGGATCAGTGTTTTGGATATCCAAATTACAAACTATAATTTATTAATATTATAAAAACACTAATAAATAATAAATTTGATATAATAATAACATATACTATATTAAAAGTTAATATTACAAAATTATAATGATTGGTTATGTTTGAAACAAATGAAATAATAAAAGTTAATAGATTAAATCAAACTAATAAATAGTATTTTATAAAAAAAAAAATCATCTAATAATAAATTAACACAACTTATTATAATAATAATAATAAATAAATAAGTTTAAATATACACATGTGATTGAGATTGATTTTTTTTGGATCGATTTGCAGTTTTTATTTGAATCCGCTTGAATTTGAACATCTCCAAAATATATAGTTACTTATCACAATATTGAATAATAATATATTTTTATTGTCATTAATATTTTTTTACGCCTAATCAATCTAACTGTAGAAATAAAGTTTTTGATCATATCATCATAACTTATCATTTTCTTAAAACACCAAATTAAAATAATTATAACAGGAATATGAGTTACTAATCAAAATATTGAATAATAATAATTAAAAAAATACTATTGATTCAATTTTTAAAAATTATTTAAAAACTTTCAATAAATTCTTTTATATCATATCATGATTATATAACATTCTACCAGTGTGTCTCCTAATTCAGTGAAGTCCTTGGAGCATGTGCTATTTTTTCAAGATCTTTGTCAAGAAAGAAGTCAGTGCTTCTTATTTCTTTTATATTAAATTACTTGAAGAGGGAGTTGTCTCACGTACTTCACCATTTAGAGTCGTTATCGCCTTTCTCCGTCCAGTTTGTTTCTTTCTCTATTAAGAAAGTCCCGATATGTCATTGGTCTTTCGTTTGTAGTGGGCCTAAGTAACCTAAATAGTCAGGTGAAAGGAGCCTATTTTTTTTTCTTTTTTTTAATGTTTTTATTATTTGTTTTTTAATAAGTTTGTATCACATCTAACGACAAATATGTGTATCGCACTAGTAACTATAAGTTCATCTATTGACAAATACGTGTACCGTATTAGTAACTATAAGTTCATCTAACCACAAATATGTGTACCACACTAATAATTATAAGTTTGTATGATATCCCACTAGTTTTGATATTAAATTTCATACATAGGGCCGTGTTAAAAAAAATAAAAAGTGAACAACTGCTGTATTCGTTTCTAAATAAACAATAAAATCAACTAACTAACAAAGACTTCTATTATAAAATTAATTGCAATAAAGATCTATATTCTCTAAACAAAGAGTAGTAAGATAATTAACCAGGCCTTCTATCCATGTTCATGGAATTTGACGTCGACACAATGGACAAGAATAAGTAGATGAGCTGTCGATGCACTTTTGAATCCACGAGACCATACACTTTTCATGAAAAATATGCGAGCATTTTGTAGAAACAAGATCTGACTTAGTATAAAACTCTTCTAAACAAATCGAACATTGTCTCGTTGAATCAGAGAAAAGATGATCATTTTGTAGTTTCTCTAATAAATCGACAACTTGTTGGGCTTGACCTTCAACATTTTGGTTTATATTTTCTCCTTCCTCTTCTATAACATGAATCAACACATCCATCTCTAATATATCACGTCCTTCTGAATTGCATGCAATCATTTGTCTAGCACATTCTTCTATTCTTGGTAGAATTATATTTACTATGTGAGGCGGCACCATGTAAAATATCTCATGCATGATATGATTATAGTCTTCTCTCGTATAATTACATAATATATCAAAATGAATCGATACGTTACGTACACTGATGGAGGTTTCCATTCACAAAGTTTTTAATAAGGTATACTGATTTTTAGGTTTAGGTTTAGTATTTGTGGTGAATTTGTTTCAATTACTTGTTTCTATATATAGGCCTATCGTATTAGGCAAAAAAAATATTGGATCTATGAATTATGGAAGAAGAAAAAACTATTAATCCAAAACAAAATATTACAATTTTTTTATTTTAAATTAAAACCTTTATCGAGAAAATTTCCTATTAGTAATTGAATCTCAAACATTTTGAATTTTTTTATAAGAAATTAAATTTATATTTCAAAAAAACTAATTACTTTTTGGAAATATTGCTCTAATTTCTAGGTTTATTATATTACCTTACACAAAAACTAATCCACGCTATTATATTGCCTTTAATTGTTGCTCTAATTTCTAGGTTTATTATATTACCTTACACAAAAACTAATCCACACTATTATTCTGCCTTTTAATGTTGCTCTAATTTCTAGGTTTATTATATTATTTTACACAAAAACTAATCTACGATATTATACTGTCTTTAAATGTAATTTAACACTCATATACTCAAATTCTTTTTTATTGTTTAGATTTATATTTATTATTAACTTTCTATTTTTATTTATATTATCAACTTTCATCACAAACTCCAATTTATCAAATGGATATGATTAGATAACAATTAATTGGTCCACACCGGATATACTCTAGAAGTAGTAAGAAAAGTCAAATAACTTTAATTATTTAATAATTGTAATTTATTGACCGTATAAACTTTTTATAAATAAAATATATAATTAAATTTTTACTTTATTAATAAAAATATACATATTTATAAATAAATAATAAATTTAAGGAAAACACTGTAAAATTGTGTGTTTTTGTTTATCAAAGTCAAATCCATATCTTACAACACACTTCAATTTATTGAATTCAATTTTTCAACATTATAATATAATCATATTTTTAGGAAAATCATTTTTCACTTAACTCTAATTTTTAAAGATGCTGTAATTTTTTGAACAAAATAAACACTAATAATTTTTATTGGATATGTCCTCTAAAATCCAGTAGACTATTATATTAGAAAAGTTAATGATCCCAACTCTATTAGGATCATTAATAGCAAGTTGGATTATAACATAAGTATTTTTATTTGATAATTTTTTAATGCACCCTATGTATTATCAGAGTATTATATTGTGAGTGTAACTTTCTGTTCGATGTGTTTTGAATGCTATCAAAATTAGGATAATTTAAGATTAATGTATATTGGATGATATCCTCTAATTCTATATATGCATCATAGCATTAGGAAGTATTAAAATGGTTTGGAAAAGATCCATGCATCATACATGCATTGAAAACAAGGTTTTTATGAAAAATGCATTGAAAAATATGTTTTTTGTGAAAACAATACATCATAGGTCAACACATGCGTGTTTAGGTCGACTTATAGAAGTTTGAACTTCAATATAGGTTGACACCTAGCCATCTTATATTGAAACATATGCATCAATAATAAAGCTTATAACCATTGTCTATAGGCTGACCAACTTAGGTTGACACATGCTCAACGCAAGACATCAATAGGTTGACCTAAGACCTTAAGGTCGACACATTTGATGCAATTCTTTAAAGTTTCATACTTTTTCCATTCCTTTGCATTTCCTCTTGCTTATAAACTTGCATACGTATAAATACTGTTACATGCATCTTTTTCTAGTAAGATTCTAGTGTAAAACCTATACGAAACCAGAATTTCAAAGCAGACTCATTATCTTCAACCGCTCTTCAATGCATACACACAATCGAACTACACATAATGATTTTGTATTGGGTGACCATCTAGATTATGGTTGATAATGTCAAATTAAGTTGGTGTACCGAGAATATTGGGTTGAGTTCTTTGAGGGTTTCAAATAAGAAAGCCGAGTTGGGGTTTTTCTTTAAGATCATTAAGGATTCGAAGTTTTTGGACAAGATTATGCAATTCGGATCCAATCAAGGGAAAGTCTTAGGATAAGGTGGTTTCTTGCAAGGGAGTAGCAAGAGACGGCGAATCGTTATGGTAAATATTAGTTTTAACAAGTGTGCGCTTAGAATTAATTCGATTGTGTGAAAGCATTGGGACAAAGTAGTTCTTTGCAAGAAAGTTACAAGAATTGGTGAATTGAAGTGGCACTGTTGGTGACTTGATCAGTTGTTGATCAAAGGTTTTATAGATGATAGAATCGACAAAAAAATATAGGGTTGTATTTGTAAATTATTGAATTTATTGGTTGTTTGATCAATTCGATTGGGAGTTATTTTTTATCATGTTTTGAATTAGGTCTTGTTGATAGAATCTTAATCTGATTGATTGTAATTTGTTTTAAGATGAACAAAACAAAGTAAATTTCTAAACGATGTCGTTTTCACACAAGGTGTTCGATAAACTGCATTATTGTGTTTTTGTTTGTTTTTGTTCATTGGAAATAAGCTCTATAGATAACATAGCTTTTGATTGTATTGTGATTAATTATTTTTGAACAATTTATCTTCATTGTCATTTAATGTGTAACTTTACGCATATCCGAGCTTTTCAATAGTAGGTTCGGTTAGACGATTTAATTCAGGTTGTTTCCGTTGTGCCATAAAACTTTTAAAAACCATTTTTCCCAAAAGTTTGATTTTAAATTTGTATTTATTCACCCCCTCTAGATTGAAGCTTATTGTATAACAAGTGGTATCCTGAGCTCCGGTTAATTATGTGCTTAAGATTTACTTTTTAGAAGAATGACTACTGAATCTAAGGGAGCGTATAATAGAGCACAAATTTTCACCGGCAAAAATTATGGCTATTGGAAAGCTTGTATGCGTATTCATGTCAACTCTGTTGACAAAGGTATATGGGACGCCATAAAAAATAGTCTGAATGAAATAACCATGACCAATGATGAAAGTGTTACATTACCTAAACCAGAAGCCAATGGGATGCTAATGACTGAAAATTGTGGTCACATGATTAGAAAGGGAAAAATATTCTCAATCCACTTTAAGTGTTGATGAGTATTATCGCTTTTCTCATTGTGAGACCGCCAAAGCTATGCGGGACGCGTTAGAAGTTGCCCATGAGGGTACTAATGATGTCAAAAAAGCTAGGATCAACATATTAAATCAAGATTTTGATTTATTTTGCATAGGGCATGGTGAAACCATCAGGGACATGCGAAAACGGTTCACACATCTTATCAATGCGCTAGGTAAGCTTATTTCTAATGAGATTGTTATTAACAAAGTACTAAGATGTTTAAGTAGGGAATGGAAATCCAAGGTCACCGCTATCAAAGAGGAAAATGATCTTAAAGTACTTTGTTCGTCAAATTGAAAGAGCATGAGCAGGAACTCTCTTACTTGGAAAACATGAAAAAGAGTATGCAGGGAAAGTGAAGAAGGAGAAAGGTAAAGACGAGGAAGTATAGAAGAAGTCTATTTCTCTAAAGACTTCAAGCTCAAGGTCTTCCTATAATGATCAAAGTGATGGTGAAATCAAATATGACAAGAATTCATATGATGAGGATATGAGGTTATTTATGTGAAGATATCATAGGTATATAAGGAAGAACGAAGTTAGAGACTCTGACAAGAATCTAGTAAAATTTAGAAGACTAACAAACTCTTCAAGAAACAATGAGGACATGAGTGGTAAACTTAGAAAATATTGCTATCATTGTGGAGAAGTCGATCACTATAGACTGGAATATCCTATGAGGAAGAAAGACAAAGAAAATAGTCACCGTAAGAAATCTAGCAAGTTTATAGGAGCTTATTCCGCTTGCGAGAGTGCTAGTGATTCCTCAAGTGATGAAAGCACCACTTCAAGTGTTGAATTGGCTCGTAGTCTCATGGAAAATAGAAATAAGAATAAAATTTTAACTCTTTCTAAGCTTAAATATATTAATGATTTATCCTATTCTCAATTACAAAAAGTATTTGAAGATCTTCATAGAGAAGCCTTTAGAGCTTTTAACAAGTTAGCTTCACATGAAAAATTAATTTTAAATTTAGATGTTAAAGTGTTAGAATCGGAAAAGAAATTTAAAGCTATTAAGAGATCTATGATAGATATTCAAAGTGACGAGAACGAGGATGTGGAATCTTATAGGTTTGGTTGTGAACATTGTCAAAATTGGCAAGAGGAGGTAAATACTCTTCATGTCAAATTGGATGAAGCCTTACAACCTAAGATTGGTCTTGCTATTGATCCTTTAAAAACTGAAAAATATTTGAAGAATTTAAATAGAACGCATAAATTTATGCATAAGGATTCAAATAGCAAGGATAATTCTCATTACAACATATCTTGTCATTATTGTTGCAAAAAGGGCCACACCATTGAAAGGTGAAAATTTAGAAAACTCTTTGTCCCTAAAGGAGTTGTTCAACGGTTGCCCAAATGAAACTTTGATTTCACTCACTCTCAAGGACCCAATGAAAATTGGGTACCTATTTCCTTTGTTTAATTCCACGGGTAGATGTCTTGACTCAATCGAAAAGATGTGGTATCTTGATAGTGGATGCTCAACACATGTGACAGATGACATGTCTCTATTTTTTGAATTTGTACCAAAGAGAAAAGGGTTTGCCACTTATGGAAATAATAGCAAAGGGGCTATACTTGGAAAAGTTAGTGTAGGCAATCCCTCATCTACTACTATCTTCGATGTTATGCTAGTCGATGGTCTTAAACATAACCTTCTTAGCATTAGTCAATTTTGTGACAAGGGTTTAAAGTTACTTTTACAAAGACTTGTTACTTATTTGTGCATGATGAAAAGAAGGAATGTATGTTTAAATTCTTGAGGTTTAATAACACTTATATGCTTAACTTAGATGATGTATCATTGGTTGGAACTAAATATATATCTGCCTTGAGTGAAAAATCTTGGCTATGACATAGGCGCTTAGCTCATATTAAGTTTGACTTCCTAAACAAAGTAACCTCAAACGATTTGGTAATTGGTCTTCCAAAGATGAAGTTCACA